ATTCCAGTTGTTAATGATTTTGTGTTTAATGACTCAAACACTTCATGGATCAGTGAGATGCAGCAGAAACAAAACAAAAAAGCTCCGACACATTATCAACACATTTCTAACAGCTTGTGATGCTTCGGTTGGACGCCGGCTTTTCCAGCCGAGCTTTGCATGAAGTGCTGTGTGTGTTTTCTTATCGTGGATGAGTGACTCTTCTCTGTATTGTTGTTGTTCGACGCACACATCTGCAGCTATTCAAGCACAGAAAAATACAGCAAGAAAATGGGGAAATGTGGGCAAACAAACGGTACGAGGCGATGTATGTTTTCGTGAGAATTAGTTTGTGATTCATCAGGAGGCAAACATGTACAGCGAGCGTTTAGATTTTAATTACACGCCTGGTGCGCTTGTGGTGAAGTTTAAATCCCGACTGGAACATGTTGCTGCTGTTTGAGATGTTTCTCTGCATCCTGCTCTCTGCTCGCTCGGCATTAAATCATCTCAGAGGTTTAGTTAGTCGTCGAATCCCTAAAATCTTAACTGGAGCAGCGACTGAGCAGGCTGCTGGCTGTTGGAGGCGTCTCACCTGCTGCTTGTTGTTTCTGTGATATTTACTGTTGAGCTGTTTCATTGTGTGACACCTGTGCAGTGTTTCTGTGTGTTCAGGCGTATTTATGAAGTTAAAAAAAATCATCAATTATTACACAAGATGAGCTTCTCCTCCTCTGATGTCCACCTTCCTAAACATCACCTCACATCTGTTATTTTTACCCACTGGGGTTTGATATGTTCATAGAATCAAAACCAAACAGAAAACAAACAGATTTATCCTCCAGAAAATGAAGAAATGCTCAGCTGTGAATTTTAAAAATGAAATGTTTCATTTTATTCGTGTTGTTTTCGTGCAAATAATTAATTCTGATGTAATTTCAGTAAATCCGTGTTTTTTTTAAATTGATTTAACAATAATCTATTATATTTAAAATGTTCATATGTTTATCAAAAATCTTCTAAAAATCATTCTTAGCATCTCTTGTGATAAAAATCAGGACAACATGTATAAACTGTCTAAACACAGATAAATAAACAATTAAGACAAGAGTCAGACTGAATGGACACAGGTGGGATTTCATGTAAAGTTAATTTTTTACATTAAATTCATGCTTTATTTCTGTTTCTTTGAATGTTTAAAAGAAGCAGGATGAACTGAAATTAGGTTCCAACAATTTATAACATTGTGCAATTAATCTTTTTAATTTTATTTCATTTTATTAAATTAATTTTATGGAAACAAGAGTGCCCTGTCTGCTTGGTGCTGACCTGCTGATGCAGGTGTGCTGCTTTTAGATAGTTGCTTTGCACATAGCTGAAGAGATCTTATCAGTTTAAACCAGATTATCTACAGTTTTAAAAAGTCTGGCGTTAAAAAATGTATTCTGGTTGATTTTAGTTTTACTTTTGAGTTAATAGGAATGTAAAACAAAAACTAGAGAAGCTGCTTCACACGAGTTCTGCTGTTTTAATCCACATTTAAGAACATTTTGTGTGCAGAAAATTATTACATAAAAAAATGCATTATTTGTGAATTAATTTTTAGCAATTAAATTGATATAAAATGAATGTTAGCTCTTTCAGAAATGCTTCTAAAGTGCACGTTGGCAGATTCAAAGGAAACAGACAGTAAGTTTGAAAGGCAGAGCTGTTTTATTTTGAGTGTTTTACTTCCCAGAGCTGACTTACTGTCATTTCACAACTCTCTCTGCCTCAGTAGGAACCTGCCAAATTCCCCTCCGACACTTTCTTCATGTCTTTGTGTGACATTTTTTGTCAGCGGCAGATTCCCGTGTTGATGTCGGTAAAAGCAGCAGATAAAAGAGCCTCGGAGCCACATTTATGATCGGGCTGTTGACTGTGTCTGTGGTCGCTCTGATGCTGATTTAAGCTGTGAAAGGTGCTGATGAGTCACTGGTCGCTGCAAAAAGTGACCACCTTCACTCGTTCTGATTCGTGTTTGCAAGTCGGGTTTTTTTTTTTCTAAAACACAGCTAGAAAAAAATGTGAAAGTGTGGGTCTGTAATTGTGCTTGTTTTGATGCCTTTTATTCGGGAATTTTGTCGAATATTCTGTCGTTGAAACCAAACAGAATAAAAGCAGATGGCTGCGCTGCTTCCTATGAAACGGAGTCATTTGATAAGTGCGGACCGGTGGAGCTGTCCCGCTGTCTCTGGGGGATTTTTAAATTATTTTTAGTCACGAAAACAGGATTTTAAAACTTGAGACTGAACAAAGTAATGCGTCCCGACAGATATTTCTTGCAGTGTGCAGCGCAAAATGTGCACCAAAACTTTTTAAACTTCGGGATCTATGGACTGTTCGCCTCCTGATGCGCCTTTGACTGAATATTGTTAAAAGTTCGCAGCGGTTCTGAAACGCAGGGTGTCTTATTCAGATGCGATAATTGATTGCTTCCGGGGACAACATGCTTGTGATCTGAGCAGCAGTTGGCGTCACTGTTCCGCTGCAGGAGCTGCAGAAAAAAAGAAAAAGAAAAAAAAGTCCTGACAGTTGTGTTAATACAGAAGTGTGTCTTTTTATTTTATTAAAATGCTTAAAGAACCCGGAAACAGCTGTGCCTCATCCAGTGAAGTGAGATACGTTTCTTGGTGATATTATCAGCCTTATTTAAACTTGTTTTTTGACTTTAAAACACCTTAAAACCAGCGAGTCTGTTGCTTTTCCAGCTGGCACTGACTGGACATATTTTTTTCGCATTTTTACGCGTGTAAGAATTTAAGATTAAACGGTGTCCATGTGGATATTTTGCAGCACATGCTTTTGAAGTGATACTAGCTAGATCTAACTTCGGGGATTTTAAAACTTTTAATGACTTATTTACCTGTATTAATGCAATAACGGCCGTTATGTGCTTCATTCTGTGATGAAACGCTGGAGACGGTGGCTTTGGGATGCGTAATTGCGCATCCTGGTGAGCTGGGAGCAGCTGATGCTGCTGGAGGATCTGGAGCACCTGCCTCTGCACCGCAGCTCTCTGTTCAGACACATTTCAATCCGTTTGGCTACTTTTAAACTTGATCTGATCAGAAATAATAGACAACAACTTTTGGTTATTTTAAAATCCTTTTATTTTTTCTGAACCTGCTGTGTGTCAAAGTAGAACTATGAAATCAAGAAAGGATTTATCCACGTTTTTACTGCCTTAATGAACTGAAAACTGCACTTTAAACATTTATTTTAATCCATTATAGAGTGTAGAAATCCACATTTTTCGATTAAAAGCATCTGCTATTAAAGATGAAATAATTTCGATTTATTTTCTGACTATATTCAAAGTTTTATTAATTTTGTTGAATTAATAATCGATTTGTTTGTATCACTGGGGTGACCTCATTCTGGGTTGTTTCAGGTTACAGTCACTTGTTGTTGGGTTTTTTATTATTATTATTATTATTTTGTTGTTTTTAACTGTGATCATTTGCTGGACATGAAGTCAGAGAACTTCTCCAGCTTCAGTCCTGCTTGGTGCCACTCAGGACGCGGTGATGTTCGGATCAGGTCGAGTGTTTAAGCAGCAGCAGCAGCGACATCCTTTAAAGAGTGAGACTGATAAATGACCACAGCAGTGGAAGGAGGAGAGAGAGAGAGAGGGGAAGGTATAGAAGAAGTCTGCCCAGTAACAATCGCACAGCCTCGGTCGAGCGCTGAGGAGCTATTGGCTATGCAAATAGACACACAGGGAGGAGGAAACAACTTAGACTGGAAAAAAAAACTTTAAAGAGACATTTCCCTCACTTTTCTCACAAGCATTGCTATATAGCCACCGAGCTTCGGATGGAAATTAACAGCTCTAAAGCTCTGAGGACTTTACAGTCCCCAGTCTTCCCCTGATGCACTGATGTCTCGTTTCATTCAAGGCTCAGGTCTTTGAAGTTGACTAAGAATGGGACGGGGATTAACATATTTACCCATGCAGATTCCCTTTGTGACTGTATGTGAGGCTAAATCATTTGGCAGTCATTTTTTTAATTATCTCCTCAATGACTTACACTCTCAGCTCCGTTTCCACCTGCTTGTTTTCCATGTAAATGATAACACAAGTCTAATAAATAAACAGAAAAAATAGTGATTTACAGAAGGAATTAGCTGCTGTTATTGGAGCACAGCGTCTCATCTTTGTGTTATCTTTAACAGAAGAAGAAGAGAAAAAAAAAACATGTCAATGCTGCTTCAAATTTCCTAGAAAGCTATCTCATAAACCGCAAGAAGCTTGTGGCTGTTATAAAAAAGAAAAAAAGTTCGTAAGACCATGTGTGTCCGTGTGTGTGTGCGCGCGCGTGTGTGTGTCACTGTGGGTGGGTGGGTCTGTCGTGTGCGCGTGCCCGTGCGCGCCCACACACCGCCTCTGTAAGTTAACATGCAGTGTTTGGTGGCTGCGTGCCCACATGCATCATGTTCTGCACACTGAGGTTCACTGAGTCCATCAGAAAGCTGCTTTAACGAGAAATCAATACAAATTAGTCGCGTTTTTCTCTCTCATCTGAACCAATATGCTGGTTGTTTTCAGAAGTGGTGCACTTTAGGTGGCTTGTTGGAGGCTTTGTAGTGCTGAGAGTGTGCGTAAAAATCACGCTGGAGTGAATAAAATGCTGTTTGATTCGTTTTGCTCATGTTAAACGACAACATGGTGTCAGTGAGGCAGCAACACGAAGGAATTAAACCATAAATACCGTGTACACCTCAATGTAGTCAAATAATCCTACATACAGTGCGTATTTCAGGCTAAAACAGTCATTTAATGCGTAAAATGTGGTCACAGTGGAGTTCAGATGGATTTATTGTGAACTACATTCTGCAAAAAGCCTTTCAAATGTCGAATTAAGACAAGTTTACTGAAAGTTGTCTTGCACACCAGGACAGCAGAAAAGAGGGAGAGGAGTGCAGCATGTTGCGTCTGGTCTATACAGAGGTAATGAAGTGAATTGCGTCAGTAGCGCATGCAGGGCAGGCTTGAAAATGCGCCTGATCTGGCCAAGCGGATGAAAGTAGAGGCGCACTGTGTGGAGAGAGGAAAAAAGTTCTCAACAAGGAGAGGCAGGACTACTCTTTACGGAGCCCCTGCAGTCTCACTTTTTTATGCCTCTAAAAGACTTTCCCTGCCATCTTTTTGCAAATTTTTCGCTCTGCAACGCCGCTTTTACGCTTCCGAGAGAGAGAAAATCCTACTTTTTGACTTAAGCGAAAGCACCAGCACCATGGAGCTGCTCTGCCTCGAAATGGACACCATCATACGAGCTCGTCCCGATCCGAACCTCCTGTGCGATGACAGAGTCCTGCAGAGCTTGTTGACTATAGAGGAGAGGTTTCTACCCCAATATTCCTATTTCAAAGGCGTCCAGAAAGATATCCAGCCGTTTATGAGGAGGATGGTCGCGACTTGGATGTTGGAGGTACACCGAAAACACCGAGTGCTGACAAGTCTTATTATTTCCGTGCTCGACTTTTTTTTTAAACCCTCTTGATTTTGTTTCATTCCTGCTTTTACGCAGCTGTGTTTGCACATTTTTAAACGGCAGATGCGACGCTCGGCTCTTATTTCGTGCTGCTTATTCCTCACATTAAGCAAATGTGTCGTTTTTCTGCGATTTTTCTCGCCGTTTTTTTTTTTTTTTTTTTTTTTAAAGTCCGGGTCGTGAAGACTTTGTGAAACTGCGATACTGTGTGACACCGGAGAATTTCTCTCATACGCCTCACATGGTGTCTCTCCAAGCTGCCTGTTGATTCTTTAATGTTATTAGGGCCTATTTTAGATAGCCTGAATATTTCCATGCACACGTATGCACTCTCCGATGCAATGCTGCCTTGCGCTGCTCGTATCGCCATGTTGGTTTTTTTACAGGAGCGCTTGCGCTTTTAAGAGGATTTACAGTGTCATAAACGCAATAACAGCGGTTAAAAGCCATCGGCAATGACAGAGGAGGGTCTTGGGTGTCCACCGAATATAGAAGTGATCACAAAAAGCGCTGCAAACATTTTTGGTATCTATTTTAAATGTCGGAAGGGGCGAGGGCCTTATCAGTGCTTTCGGGCTTCCCCCCGTCGCTCCGTCTCGCTCTGGAATTATGTTCAATTTCGGACACTCGCTCCGATATTTCTGATCAACATCTGTCTGTAAACAATCCCGAAGCTTTCCCCTTTATTTTCATGTAATTATTGTGAGAATCCGAGCCGCTGGGGATTTTTAATTAATTTTTGAAATAAATATATCGGCTCGGCGGTGACGCACGCCACACCAGCCGCTCGCTACTTGCCTTTAATTTTGACATTTTATTCCTATTTACCCCGCATGGATTTGGATAGGAATTGTCGGGTATGATGTGGAAGACCCTAATGAACATTATGGTGCGAAGAAAATCGCTCTGCATAATTTATTTGTATTTTTAATTATTTTATGAAAATATGACGAATGAAAAAAAGTGTGTTTCCGTGTGCTGCGCTGTCGGGGTGTTTTTTGGCTCGGCTGATTGTGACTTGAATTCATTTCTTAGTGAATGAACTGCAGGAATGCGACTCTATTGACAGTATGTGTCTGAGACGCATTTCATTCTTTTGTTAAAAATAATTTGGAATTAATGTTTGATGTCGCAACCGACTTGGGCAGGGCGCAGATTCTTGGCCGGGCCCCAACTATGAGTGTCATTGAATTTATATGTGCTCTTTATGTGATTAGTCTTTTGTTTCGTTATCTCATAAAAGTTTTATATACATTTCAAGTGCTGGAAAAATAAGTCAGGTGACTGCAGGGGCTGGTTACTGATTCCAAATGCTCAACATTGCTGCTTTGTCTGCTCTCTCTCTTTATTCAGGTTTGTGAGGAGCAGAAGTGCGAGGAAGAAGTTTTTCCTTTGGCCATGAACTACTTAGACAGATTTTTAGCAGTGGTACCCACCAAAAAGTGTAACCTGCAGCTGCTGGGAGCAGTGTGCATGTTTCTTGCATCCAAATTGAAAGAGACTCGTCCATTAACCGCAGAGAAGCTTTGCATCTACACAGATAACTCCATCAGACCACAAGAGCTGCTGGTAAGCAACAGTTGGTTCCACGCATTTCACATAATTCACAACTGTGAGAATTCATGCTGTCATCATCACCATCACCATCACCAGCTGCTTAGACGTATCGTTATTTGTATTCTGCATCATATGTGCTTTGGAGCATGTTTGGAAACCAAAGAGGTTTATTTCAGTTCCTCTGAGGTGTTGATTCACCTAAAATATGCTCATCTCAGCCACTCAGCTCAAAATATCAACACCTTGGCTGATCTCATGGTGTCCAGTCTCCGATTTGCGCTGCGCCGTCATCAAAGGTGCATGAAAAGTGAAAGCCCCACAGTGGATTGTTCCACAAGGGCTCTCTTTACTGTACAAGACCCCTCAAGGCTGTACAGTATCCCTGTGAGCCTGTGCAGTGGTCTCCATCGCCATCTAGTGGCAGATATTCTCGCACAGAGCAACGAGGTCAGCTTGAACCCCAGCCAAAGTTCTGACTCTGTTCCTGTCAGCTAGAGAGAGGGGAGAGACGCAGAGAAATTCAAGTTTGCCTTTTACAGTTCAGCGTTCGTCCAAAAATAACCGTGGATGCACACATTTCTGATATTATGTCATGCTTCGCTGTTCCTGGTTTTCTTGCACACTTTGGCCGGAGCATGCGTGCACTTTGAATTATACATATAAGAGATGATGCTCCAAAAAAAAAAAAAACAAAGTGTCCTATTTTATTTGATAAGACTTCTTTGGCCTCGTAATACCAGCTGCCTTCACCAAGGCAAACCAATTAATTAACTGAGCTTCACATCAGATAAGTATTTCCCCACTGCGCTGTGGTAACATAAACATTCCTCAGTAAACAACAGCCAATCCCACCCATGTTGTGAAAGAGGCCACATATTATGATTCCGACGTGGCTGATGGTTACAGGCCTGCCTCGCTGCCTGACTGGCGGCTCTACCCACCGAGCTGATTGCTGCAGCGTATTCCAGTTCCTGATGAGCTGCTGTTGCTCTTATTGGTTCCTGATCATTTTTTCTGGAAGGCATTTGTTGCTTGACAATATTGTGTTTGATTTCTCCACATGCCGGCTCATTTTAAAGAGAGTTTAAAAAGTAAAAAAGTGCTGCAGTGGCTTCAGGCTTCAGCGTGCCGGGCTGCACTTCACAAAAAGTCTGAGTCCATCCTACCTTTATGTTCACACTGAAGCCTTGAACTGTTTTTTTTGCTGAGGCCTCCTCTGTGTTTCTGTATAAGGCAGTATTTTGGCTGACATGCAGATACAGGAAACAGAGATCAGCTGCTCGGGGCATGTGATCGTTTTTTCTTTTTTCTTTTTTTTTTTTTTCTTGTCCTCATCTTTGGTAACAATTTCTTGTAAAGAGAACCGCAATGTTACAATGAAGGTGTGACCAGAGGGGAAGGCAGTAGCAGAAGGAAGTGGGTGCTTGCCTGCTTGCCACTCTGTCAGCACACAGAGCCTGTGTTGCAAGCTTTTGTCACAGTTCTTACTTGACTATCGCCTGCTGGAATTGATGGAGGAGAGAAGCTGGGTGTTGTGATTTGCATATGTTGAACGCTCACCTAGAAGACACCTTTCACCTTCACAAGATCTATTTTTGTGAGTAACTTTTATAAAAACCCCTGTTTTCAAAAAGCATAATCTCCGCTGCTTATTGCGAGGAGATCAGCTGAAAAGGTCACTTTGATTAGACGATTGGCCGGCTGGAAGCAGGGTCAGGGGCGGCCATGTTGAATTGTCTCGTGACCGAGTCCACGTGGTCTGTCTCCCTCTCTCTCCGTCTGTCAGTCTGTCTGTCTCTGAAAGGGAAAATGAAGAGCATCCGTGGTCCCGGTCACAAGGCTCGCAGTGCGGAACCAAACCACGAAATTTTTTCCCAAATTAGTCACCAACTCTTCCGTTAATCACCTCCTCCTCTAGGAAGTGAAAGTAACAATACACTCTCAGAGAAGAGGACGCCACACCTAACACCCCCACCCCACCCCGCAACGCACGCACACTCGTGTGTGTCATCGCATTTCGCGGAGACGTCCACGTGAAATGACTTGTGAAGTCGAGAGCCGACAATCCTGGTGAATCTGATGTTAGAGAGAAAGAAAGGTGCGCTGAGCTGAGTTTGTGCCCAAAACATGTCATAAACTACATCTGACACGTGGTTTTGTTTACATAAAGCTGAATTTTAAATGCTACAGTATGCAAACATCTGATTTCTGCGTAGATTGGGAGGTGAAATGCTGTTTTATTGCTGCTCTGCAGACGCAGGCTTCCTATCCATTTTCACTCCACGCTCACACAGTAGAACCTCTGGTGGGCCTCTTTAGGAAAGTCCCCAGATGCCAGACAGACAGACGGGGAGGGAGACAGTGTTGTGAGGTCACCTGGGTTGGTGGCGCTGCTGCTGGTGTTTCTCTGTCCCAGGCCCGGCCGAGCACAGACTAACGTAATAACAATAATGCATAACCTCCATACGCTCATCGCCGCGTAGGACCAGAGGGCCTCATTCACGCACACAGGCCGAACGACTGCAGTTTAGCCATGTAGCTCTAAAAGTAGATCTAAAAGTGCGGCTGTTCGTTTGTGTCACTGATCATCTTCCTTGCCTTCTACTCTCTTGCTTTCTCGCTCCTTCTCTCCAGGAATGGGAACTGGTGGTGTTGGGGAAGTTGAAGTGGAACTTGGCAGCAGTAACGCCGAACGACTTCATCGAGCACATCGTGAGGAGGCTGCCGCTGCCCGAGGATAAGCTGGCACTTATACGGAAACATGTCCAGACCTTCATCGCCCTCTGTGCCACAGGTAGGACACACTGAGAGCTCCAGCAGATCCACATTACTACCAGATGTTTGTCCCAAAAATAACTGGGATCCTAAACTTGGGAAGAAAAAAAAAAACTGCTCCAAAAGATGACCATGCAGATGTCATCTTGACATCTTTATTTTTTTTATCCTTCTTCTTTTTTATTTTCGGTGTTGCAAGTGACACTGGTTATGGATAAGCTGCCAAGTCAAACCAAGCGATAATGGCTTGCATCAACATGCTTTCTCATGTTGCAAAATATCTTCATCTGCACATTCTTCTTTCAGCGCCTGTATCAAAGCCCTCGTCTCTCAGCAACATGCGGCAACAGCTCTGCTCAGAGGTGTGCTGTGGGCCAGTCATGGCTAGCCGCGACTTTAGCGAGATCCATTACCTCGGATGGGAAAGTATTCCTCCCTGAGAGGAACGCACGTGTCGCGGAAGACATTTCGGCGTTGCACTCTTAAGGTCCGACGTCCATCATCTGTCTTCTCCCTGGGCCGGTATGCGGTCATGTTTTCGAGGCGTATCGGTGGCTTCCAGAGCATCCAGTAACACTTCAAAGCCTCGGTCGAGTTGTTGCACATGGAGCGATGGATGGGGCGGAGGCAGGCCATTGTCTTTCTGCTCTTGAAGTGAATTGTTCCCTTAAGATCAAACGAGCCACGGGAGGAGGAGGGACAGGGAGCCCTTTAACATGATATGAAGCGACGGCGAGGTGGAGAAGATGCAGGAGGGAGTCAGGGAAAGCCAGAGGAGTGTATTGTTTTTGTACTGCCAATTCCAAGGCATGTCATGTTTTCATATCTCTTTCCCCTGCCGCCTTCCTTCCCTCTTTCTCTCACCCCGAACTTCTCACGCCTCCCCCGCCCTACAGCTGGAGGACATGATAGCTTTCTCATGTTGAGATTCTCCATAGGGCAGATTTCTGCTGTTTGCGTCACCTCCAGCTCAGAGGCAGCGAAAAAATGTACACCTGAAGGATTTATCGTAGCTTTTAATGAGGAAAAATACATAAATTTCTTTCTCTCCTTTCTGGGTGACCCCCGCCGCCAGCAGCAACAGCAGCAGCTTCGTTTTCTTCAGGCGGCAAACAGGAATGCTAGCTATGCTAACTGCACCCCCCATGGGAAACGGCTCCTTGTGCTGACATCATTCAGAGGGGTGTGTTTGGTTAGATGAATAGATACGAGGGAAGCGGCAGGTATTTACAACATGAAGCGATCTCCTGCGCTGATTGTGCAATGGATTCGGTTAGAAGTATTTGCAACGAAACTTCACGTCTGCAGAGCTTTGAAGGAGAAGTGCTCCGTTTTATCATGTTATATCTCGCTCTGTTCCTCTCCAAGTCTCAGCCCTCACGTCTCTCGCCCCTTATTTTGTGCCAGCGGATTAATGTGTGGTGGAATGACAGCGTGTCAGTGATCGGACCTATTCCCAAAGCAGCGTTGTGAAAGACTCAGCATGCACTTTGTCCTTAATTGCTTCAATGAGGCGGTGGAAATAAATTTACGAGTCTCCCGGAGTCGTCCTCCTGACATTGTGTTTTAGGAGACGTTCTGGAGATCGCTCTGGATCAGCAACAGGCCATTTATCTGCGTACGCTCTCCGCGGACTTGTATCCAGGCAAACAGAAAGTGAGGGCAAAAAACGGAGAAAGAAGAGAGTGAGTCAACAATTTGGTGCATCTGAAGATCTCTGGGAATTCGAAACCCCACTTGCGGAACGTTCCCAGCCGTAAATCTTTGGGGTTATCTGGTGAGAATCCTCATTGAGACATCCTCCGAGCAGAGTTGAGAAGGTAAAGACGCGGCAGAAGGAGGAGATCTCTCAGGAGGATTTACATTTGCAAGACAGTCGACAACGGGTCACCTGTGGCCTTCCTATTCCGTACAGTCTCATTCAGCCCACCACCCACCACTACTCCCACCACGGCCGTCCCCATATACCGCAAAAGAAAGCACGCATAAAACCGTGGCTCTCTGTTTTCAGGGGAACAAGAGAGAGAAGAGGAGAAGTGGAGAATAAGGCCTCTCATTCCTAATGGCTCCTCTCTTTTGATGAAACAGTTCCGTTCGGGCCACTCGGTGGGATTTTGTCAGGTGGCGCAGGCTGGCTCTGTATTAATTAATAACATTGGCTGGTCCATTCAGGACTATGCAAATGGCTCGGGGGCTCAGCTAGAGGCTGGGAGAAAGGAGACAAAAGGCTTGGCCCTTACATTTCATATGCAGAGCCATGTGAGGGTCAGCGCTGCAGGGCCACTTGATAGGAAACACCAGCGTTTCCCTCAGGCAGGCCGCCGGATAATAGCCCAGAAACAAGCTCATTAAGGGAGATTATGAACCTCCATTCCTACACACAGACACCAAGCACTCCGAGCTTCCTCTTCTATTCTTATTCAATTGAGGTAAAGTGGGAGAATGGACGGGGTGCATGGGGCAGACAGATGCACCCCAACCTGTCTGCTGCGGTTATTGAGCTCCGTCTTCTTGCCATATTGGCAGGGATTATGGTGTATTTTTTTTTTTTTTTTTTTTTTTTTTTTAAATACGGGATCCAATAGCCTCCTCTCTGTAATGGTATGCATGGAATGGTGACAATGGTCATAGAAGTTGATCAAAAGAAAATTCTGGATTGGGGCCAGCAGTGCCGTCCAAGAAGAGAGTCGATTGTCTGTGGGGGGACACAATGAAGACTTCGCTACAAGTTCTGGACCTAAATAAGCAGTGATTTATGTAACTGGCTCCTTTATCTGCGACTCGTATTTGATCACTACTTTCTGGTATGTGGAAGTGTCTTTGAACTGTGTGAGAAGTAACTTGATGATTAACTGGTTAGTTTCTCTGAGACCAACTAATGATTCACCGGCTAACAAACACGACGGAGCCTTTCTCACTTTCTCCCTCGTCTTACAAATTCGCCACGATGTCTTTTATGCGCCATGTTTGCGTAGCTGAGCTTTAGATTTACACAAAGTATTTACAAATGAAGTGTGCGGAGCGTATAAACCCTGCATTTTTATATTTTACACACAGTTGTGGTTGGATTTAGCGTAAATTATAGAGTGTAGTCCACTGTTTAGTTTGTAATACAGCTGCTAACCCAATAGAAGGTTGGATGGGATTCTCACATGCAGTCCATCTGCTGTATTTCATTTTTATTTTGAAATATTTTAAATTCTCACAGAGCTGTCCCACACAGGTCTCCGAGCAGTGTGCCTCAAATTGCGGAGGATCACATGCCCCCCTTTTTTTTTTTTTGCAGCAGTAACCACTCGAAATATCGTAATGTGATTCATAAATCCTCTCTTGTTTTGGCTGTTAAGTCTCTGTGGTCCGGAGGCAGGAATGCTCCTTGTAGCTTCCTCTCCAAGTGGCTGCTGCATCGGAGAATCCCCTCCAGGCTCGGTGCAGCATTCTAGAGATGGGTGATTCATCTCAGATGTGGTCAATAAAAAAAGGTCTTTACTGGTGTTTGTTTACATAAAACCCCCTTCATGTTTGATGAGTCAGAACCCCTGACAAATTAGCCGCCTCCTCCGACAAATTATCATTTCTCCGGCGCGCTCCACTGATGTGAGGAATCGCATCCGGTCCGGCTGCATTGTCAACACATGGAGCAGGAGGAAAAAGCTTCCTGACGGCGGGTGCCCAAATATATGACACAGAGGGGTGAATCATGGAGTGGCATGTCCTGAGCTGCCCCCCCTTCACCTCGCTGGTGTAATCAGCACCACACTATAAATACTGTGGCCAAGCTGAGTCACAGCAGAAATACGAAGAAGGAGCTTTTTTTTTTTTTGCTTTTTTTTTTGCTTTGGATGCTACAATTATCCCACCGAAAGGGTTTAGAAATCCAGATCTTTTTATGCTTACATGTTTACCTTGGAGGTCGTGTCAACCACAAAGACTAATATTTGTGATCCGAAGTAAAGTAAATGTTAGTGTGAGTTACTTTGACCTGGACGTTTTTGTCACGACACCACATTGTCCCGTTCATTCTGGTTTATGGGGTTTAAATTCTCCTGATCTTCATTCATTCAGATGTTAAGATGATAGAGGAAAACACTCGTAATCGGACCGACACACTGGGGTGTTGTAAAAATCATCAAGTAGTACAGTTTCTAAAATTCCAGTTTTAAACTTCTACCAAGACACACCTCAGGGTAGATAGCTGCTGGAGCGTAGTTTGGACCTTAAAAAAAGGAACTCCGATAGAATATCTGTCATCTTTATGGTCTGAACTGGACAGAACGCTGTAACTCTCCCCTCTAGAAGCCTTTCTGTCTGTTTATTCCTCCATATAGACAGACATAGGTTTCTTCAAACAGCTGCTTCCATGAATGCATTCCAGATTCGAATACTTCAACCAGGCCGACGATTTGTGCTCTTCCAGCGTAAAGGCGAGTCACCTCTTGTGCCTCCCCTCTGCCCTTGATCTCATCCGAAAATCTGCTCAACATGCTCCTCGGCGCTGACGTTACCAGCGCCTCGAGGCTGCAGCTGTGACGGCGGAGATGATGGTGAAAGAAGAGCTGTCACAGGATGCTACGATTAAGAAGGAATTCTGTTTTCTGGCAAATGGGTTGAAATCACAGTTTGAGCGCGTGACTCAGACCGAGCTCCTCTCCAGAGTGACGGCGCAGAGCAACGATTAGACGACAGCCGGCGTCATCCAGTTATTGTTTCGGTTATTTCTCCCCCTTGTTGGAGCTTCTCAAAGCCAGTGGGGACGCTGCTGTTGTTGTTGTTGTTGTTGTTGTTGTTGTTGTTGTTGTTGTTGTTTGTGTGAGTTGAGGAGCTTCGCTGAGGTGGACCGTCTGAGTAGTTCCTCACACAACTTGTTTGGACTACCAGTCTGTGTTGCATTAGCGGTGAAACGTTCTGTCAGGCCAATCCCCAAATGATGTTTGTTTTTAACCTTAATCAGTCAACAGGCTCCGGCTCCACGTAACGCGACTCCTTTAATAAACAAGGTCAATAAACGCTACACGTATAGAATACAAGACCCTGATTTGTAGCTCTGGACGAGAGAGCAGGAGAGGGTTTTTTTTTTTTTTCTTTCTTCGTTTGGCTGTTGTTCAACTTTCCAACTTTAATTAATTTACAATTTTAATGTGCATACTGTGCATCGCAGCCACCCAGAAGGAGCTGGGCCATGTAGGGCAGCAGACTGTGTGACCAGAGGCCTGAGGATGAAGTTTCATGGGGTAGGAACATGGAGGAATGGAGACGAGGGGGCACGGGGAGGAGAAAGGGCCATTGAAGGGGGTGAGAGGCGTGCAGGCCAGGCCAGCCAGCCGCTGCTCACAGGGAGCTTTCCATCGCAGGCGTCCCCACTCAGCTACATACACTGTTTATCCTCAACATGAATATCAATGAGGGCCTCCTAAAATACAGCCATTCTTCCCCCCACATGCAGCAGCCACCAGGCCGGAGTGTCAGCCTGCATCGGCTGCACGCGCACGTCCTTGTTCTGCTACAGACCTGTCTTGTCTTGAGTGCGAAAAATCAGATTGCTGCCCACTGCCCGCCACTCAGCTCTCCCACAAACCTACATCTGTGCCGTGTGTGTGCGTGTCGGTGTGTGTCGGTCTTCGTCTGCGTCTTAAGGCTTGCGGGGATCGGGGCATTGTTCCTCGCCTGTGTCTCTGAGGTGTCCGTCGCCTTGCCTGTCAGTATGTGCTCACTGCACACTTACAGTAAATCCGTGTATGCCTTTGTCCTCTTACCCCTCAATAGAAAGTTGTGCTCTTACAGCAGTGATGTAATGCTGAGGGGCTTTGTGCGCTCTTTCCTCTTGGCTCGAGGTATCCTTTAATAAATCGCCCCTTGGCAGAGGCCCAGCAGCTAACACAGGGGTGTATAATAAGTTCATTTGTCAACACTGAGCCCACAAGATGAGAAAGCGCCTGGCTGTGCATGTTAAAAAGGCAGTGAGGGGCTGCCTTTGCAGCTATCAAAGGACCTACCTCTTTGATTCCAGATAAAAAAAAAAAAAGAGAGAGAGAGAGAGAGAGAAGGAAGAAAAATCTCCTTCAGAGCCATCGCACGCAGTTTGCTTTGCAATTGAATATGGCAATATGTTAATGTGCAGGCTGTTTCTATGCCCCCGCTGCCCACTCCTCCAGCCCATAGGTGGCCCAGGAACAGAGGGAAGAGGGGGTGGGTTGGATGGGAGGCAGGAGGTGAGGGTCACTGGAGGGCGACTCTTTTCTTCTTCCAAAACCTCACAAGGGTCTGGACACAGACTTGAGAGTGATGTGCAGCAGAGTTGTCTACCCCCCTCTCCTCTCTCACCACGCCCACCACCTTCCCTTCTTTTCTCGCTGTCGCCTTGTCGCCACACCGTCCATGCCTCCCTCTTCATCTTCCTCCCCCTCCCCGCCGACCCCCTGTCCCCATGTCCAGCCACAGGCTTTGTCCGGCCTGTCTCGCTGAATTGGTATCAGCAGAGAGGGGATGGATGCTGTGTCTCTCAATTGGGTGAAATGAGGTGATGACTCTGGACAATGGAGTCACACTCTTCTGCCTTCCCTCTCGCAGGCCCGCCACTCTATTAATATGCTAAAAGATAGGAGGGCCGCCAATGCAAACCGCTGCCTGTTGTAGCAACAAAGACTGGGGCATGTGTGCCATTCACTGGCCCATCTAAGCAGGCCATGTGTTGTCCAAAAAGAAAGGTAGAAGTTGAGCAAGACATAAAGAGAGAATAGAGAAAAGTGGTGCGTGTGTGTGTGTGTGTGTGTGCGTGTGCGCTTGTGTGTGTGTGCGTGTGTGTTTGTGTGCACGTGCGTGTGCGTGCATGTGTGTGTGTGTCTGTTTGTGAAGAAAAACTCTCTCTCCCTGTCTGTCTGTCTCCCTCCCTCACTGTATGCCAGTTGCCTTGCCTTTTCGGGCTTCTGGCCCGTTCACAAGCTGTCTCATTTGCATTATGAATGACAGTGAGGGGAGCTAACAAGGTTATTGGTCTTTGAGACGCACGTCTGTGACCACACGTGGAAAAAGGACCTACAGCAGTGCGCATTGGCAAAGGCACTGAGCCTCTTTATTCCTCCTTTTCCAAGCGCTATGGGGCTTTTTTCAGCGAGCACACGATTTACTCAGGAGATGGAAGAAAAGGGGCCGGGCTGGGGAAAGGGGGACTGGATTGGGGAGCGGGTGAGGGTGGTTGCTTTTCAGCTCCTTTACAAGCCAAGTGAACCCTCATTATCCAGGCCCCTGGTCATTAGTGAGCACCGCGTTCAGATCCAGTGCAATAGAAGGAGTATTTATTAGCTGACTGCTAGATTACCAAATCATATTGTCTCTGGGAGGGATGTGTCCGTACCCTTTTTGTGGGGCGTATGAATTCAAAAGTGCAATTTACAAACTGTACCAGGTGAATAAAGACTCGGGTGGTAAATCTGTGCAGTGGTTAACCATTTACCCGCTGGACCGAGGAATGTGCCTCCTCACTTAACACAACAATAAATACTTGAATCTGTTTTGTTTTTTTAAAGAAAGCCCAGAAAACACATGTAACTCAACCAGTATTACTTCTTCCTTCAACAGATTTCAGATTCGCCATGTACCCTCCCTCCATGATTGCCACAGGAAGTGTGGGGGCAGCGATCTGTGGCCTACAGCTGGACTCAGCCGACCAGTCGCAGTGGGGTGACAATCTGACAGACCTGCTGGCCAAAATCACAAACACAGAAGTGGTGAGTTTGTTTAACACGCTTTGATCCCATCGAAAACACTTGTTTTAGCTCGTTTGAGGTTTTTTTTTTTTTTTTACCCTGAAGCTATAAGTAATAATATAATTTACAAAATTAAATTCCAGTGTGGTTTTCAGAGTTTAGCTAAGAGTTTGAGAGTTGCGTGTGGAAAGTTTAAGGGGCTGTTTATGAGTAATATTTGAAAAAGTCTGAGTAGACGTCAGTCCCTCTGCAGACATCAGTTAGCTGTTCACTGGTATTTATCTAAGTTACAGTAACTCTGTGATTCAAAGCTGAATCGACGTGTTCTCACGCTGGAACCTTTTCATCTTATCAGGCGGTTCACAATTTCAGTGAAATGCCACAACCAAGTCATCGTGCTACTAATGAAACACACAGTTTTACCATCAGTCACTGTTCATGAGCAGGTTTACTTATTTCAGCCGTACTCGCTGCTTCTGAGAGGAAATATTGCTGCTTTCTGTCAAAGGTTAAGAAACGCCTCGTGTTTGTTGAGTCTGTGTGTTTGCAACAGGCGAAAGTCGACATGTTGAAATGTCACGCTCAGATCTGGCATCGCTTGGATTCAGCTTCCCACAATCTCATTTTTTGGAGAGATGTGCTGCCAATATTTGTCATCATGACAAAAATTTAAAAAATGAGCATCAAGCGAAGACAAAAAAATGTCCTCGTTAACCCTCTGAACCCCGAGCAGTTTTTTTGGCGCCTGTCACATTCTCACTCATGGTGGGCTCATTTTTCACTGCCATATAAAGTTCTGTATGGAAACAGCATGACCATGGCGAGGAGTAGAGAGAACTAGAAATGTAATCTCTGTAGTATAGCAAAGTTATACTGCCATTTAAAAAAAAAAAAAAAAAAGAGAGAGAGAGAAAACCAAAGTTGACTTGTTTGTTCATTTAAAAAAAAAAAAGGAATCAACATGCATTCTTCCATGTGCCCACAGCTCTTACTAATACTGGTTTAAAAAAGAAAAAGGTGACTGTACATACTACACATAGTTTTCTACTTACAGTTTTAGCATGTTTCCGTACTCGTCTCCTGTCTGCTCTGCGTAAACACATCCTGCAGTTCAGTCCAGTTCAGCCGAAAAGTCCCTAAACTTTGTCACGTTGACTGTGCAGCTGAGTCACTGATGGCTTCCTGGTTGGAAAAGAGTGCAGATTTTTTAACTTTTTTTTTTTTTTGCAAAATCTTGTTAGAGCAAATGGCTTTGAAGCTTAGATTTGGGTGAATTTTCCAGTGGAACGGCACATCATGGATGAGTAGCTCAAGGACTGTTGGAAAGTTGAAGACCTGATGATTTTTTGTTTATATATTTTCTGGCTTTTCTTTTCTTTTTTTACGGTTAAATGAAAGAGTCAAAAGGCTACAGCAAGCTGCATTGGTTTTAACGCAGCCTCCACTGGACTTTAAGGTAGCATGTGGCAGTTTTCTTTTCCTCCCCATCAGTCCAGTCCGGCTGTTCGAGGCCCCTTCATATAAAGAATCCTCTAAATCGAGCCAGGTTGAGAGCGTATACTGCATGCTCTGTCGCTGACAGGAAGGCAGGCAGGCTGTTGTGTGGCTGTCTGGGTACAGTGAATGTTGCAGCGGTGGGTGAGTCGAGTCCAAACACAGGCAGGGCCCCTACTGACTCTGAGATGCCTGGCTTTCATCACGCAGATGGGAGAGGGCTCCAGCTCGCTATAAGCTCACTGCTCAGGGTGAGTAGGTGGGCAGAACTGTAGAAGGCAAGGAGACGGAGACTGTGAGATGATCAGTCAGGTTATGAAGTTATTCTTTATGAGTCTCTGCGGGGAAATTAGTCCTCTGAATTTCTACCCATCCAAACTGTTGAGGAGCGGCGGGCGGCCGCAGAGCAGAGCTCAGGGAGCAGCTCCAGGTCTGAAGCCGCGGCCTTGGCAGCAGCGCCCCTAATACCAAACATGATGAAAAAGGCTTTTGGTTAGTAATAGCAGACTTAATATAAACATTTGAGTTAATGTGTGCACAGTGCGCAGGGAGCAAATCAGCGGGCACGACGCTGATCCCGAGCGTCAGTCCTGGTATGTTAAATTCTGTCCCAAAAGGAGGCAAAGTAGGAGGAGGAGGAGGAGGAGGAGGAGGTGGAAGAAAGCTGTTGAAGTGTGAAAAGGACACTGAGGGGGTGTCATGCCTCCCTCGCGACAATCAGCCCTCTCTCGTCTCCTCCTATGGTCCATAATGCATCGCTGCTGGAAAGCATGGCTCCCTCTGGTGCGAGCTGTGTGAAGTCTCGCTCAGCAGCTGAGGAAAAACAAATAGCTGGCCTCAGCAGCACAGGGCCTCAGTGTGTTTAGGCTGCAAGGTCTTAGACGAGAGGGAATTAAGTCGCTCTGTGTCTCTATGATCAACTCCTTACATTCCTGGATTCAGACAAGCCATGGCTCGCTGTAAACACAGGAGGCAAAGCAGAGGGCATCCTTCCTAATTCAACATATATGAAAGGCTTTAGTATAAATTAATGGAGAGCCAACCCAAACTTAATACACGCTATCTGTTGATTTAGAGCGTTTATTAAGAACTTACATCAGACGCGTGCTCCACTTGTGATACGATCTAGAAACCACAGTCTGGTGGCAAATGCCCAATGTGCATAAGAGGCTGCTATGTACACTCTTTGTCACTGGTTGAGTTTTTAGGCTTTCCTGTGCACGAAAAAAAAAAAAAAGAGGAAATGACTGACTGTGTCATTTTAACACTTACTCTACATTCTTCTCCGAAAAGCTCAACCACTTTATATATCAAAGTGACACCCAAAATGCCACCTCATCAGGGTGGTGGTACGAGCCCGAGGCTGAATGTGTACACACAACATACTGTGTTGGAGTCTGGCCGGCAGCGCAGAGGCTCGGCAAGATGGTAGAACAAGCATCTCGTGGCCGGTCAGCCAAAGAGCCAGGCAAAATATGAAGGCAAAGCAAGTTTCGCCAACCTCTGCAGCTGCTGCTGCTGCCAACAGCATCATGGCCAACGCCACCCCCCCACTGGCACCCTGCTGGCATCCGTGGTATCCAGAAGCTGTGGTTTTCCAGTGGAAATGTGATAGGGCCAAGTCACCATCTTGGGCCACTGGAAGAATGTGTGTTGCCTCACATACACCTGGTGTGGCCAAGAGGGGCAGCTATGAGTCAGAGAAACACGAAATATGTGTGAATGTGATGTTGGGTTTAAAGTGGGAGGCAATTGAGTTGTGGTTTGATAAGAAGGATGGAATGTTTGCTGCATGTCGACGAAAGTTTAAAGCTTCTGTTTATTCTTGATTGATTAAAACAGGAAAAGGAGGTCAGAGAAGTGAGAGGGTTTAAGAGCACTGCTTCCTAGATTTAGTTGTGTTGACACGCGTTTTCTCTCAGTATCTCATTCATCTTTTTAAAGGGTCACACACTGAGAGACACCGGAAACACATTTTCCCATTTCTCCCTGGGTTCCTCTTTTTATCGCTTGTATATATCATCAGTAACGCGTTGGAGCGCTGACAACAAAGATGCATTTATTAGGACAGATTCTCACTATTAACGCAGCCTGTGGCGTTACCGCTTGTGGTGTTTTGGCATGCCGGCCAAAGAAAGAGAAAGGTCACATTTTCTATTGTAACTTGTGGAAATTGGAGTCATGTGGTGACTTCTGATTTCCAGTGTCAGCCCCCAGATATTTGGTTTTAAGACGGCCTGAGATCCGTAGTGTGTGTCTGCCTGTGTGTTTGCTTCAGCTGTCTGACCACCGAGTCCTCCCAGAGTAGCTCACACTGTCTTGTGTGGTGCAGTCAGCAGTTAAAACACATTCCACGGCTTCACACATTTCTTCCTTTTGGTTTTGTCTGTCTGCACGACTTCCCCCTGCTTCCAGTGTCACAAAGGCCGCCCATGGATACTGTGCATGCCTTGATTTGTCAGAATGACAGATTGTCGCAGTGTGATGTATGCTTGAGGTGGGGCAGATGGAGGACTATAACTACAAGGGAGGATCTGAGGTGGTCATGTGTTTTCCGGTTTGAGGCTGCAAAATAAGATGCTTCAGTATAGCAGCACCTCCCATGGCCAATTTATTCAGTGCTGTTGGCCCCTCCATTGTCCGAGTACCTCGAGCTTCTCTGAAAACAGCATTGGTGTTTCCAGTAGTCACACATTGAAGTCATTAAAGGTTCTCAAATAAAGCCCATGGGGCTTGGCATGGGATCCGAACTGCCGCTCTAAAGAGCAGCAGAGACGGGGGGAGAATGTCTTTTAAGAAGTGAAGGCGTGCATTCTTGCGGTAAGACACAGGCAGTTCCTTTACATGTTCTGCGCTTTACTTAATTTTCTCACAGGAATTGAGATTTTTATGACCAATGGGGCACATGTTGGTGGGAAGATTCTGTGTGTGCGCGAGTGTGCACGCCCTCACGTTAGTGGCCACCCTCTGGAGAAGATTAAGGGACAGACGCTGGTCGGGTTTCCTCCACATCAGACCCGGGGTTGAGGAAAATGTTCTCCCAAAGGCACGCAGCCCAGATCAGTCCATCCTCCTCAACATCAAATCCGTCTTTATGGATCGTAAGGGAAAGAGCTTACATGAGCTAATTATTGGTAGATTCCATAGAAGTCAAAATAAAAGAGATGTCAGGGGAAGATTTACTTAATATACGTTTGAAAAAAGGCTCGTCTGTGGCCGTGTAATTTCATAGATTTCTTAAGCTGCTTTTTCCACTTAGTAAAGAAATCCCCCATAATGTTGCCCATATGTACAGCGTTCAGACAAATCACCAGTCCTGGGAGTCGGGTTCGAGTCGCGTAGCTTCCTTCTGACAACATGTCTCACCCTGTAATGTGTCATGCTGCTTGACCTTTGACACCGTGACCTTTCGTCAGTCAGCCCCGTGCAGCTCCCTCAGAGCAATGCTGATGTGAGTGAAGGGCTCAGTTCTCGTTTCATCAAGGCCCGGCGGCACCAGAGGCTATAACACAGGCTCAAACTGTGGCCCATCAGGTTTAAATTAGCTGTAAATTTCTGAAGAATGTTTCGCTGCTCCGCGAGCGGTACACTTAGTTTCACCCATCTCCGAGTCGTGATTCTCACAGACGCCTGGTGCTCTGAGGCAGGGGTGGGGTTGGGGGTCATGCATGTGTGTGCATGTGCAGAGCTGAGGGGGAGCAACAAGTCGGCTGCAGCTGCTTTACAGTGTTTCACCACCAGAGGGCAGTGTTCGCTCTCCTTCTGATGCTAGTGTCCACACTGGTATCTTCTTACTTCTGCAGATCTTTAATGACCATCATCGCTGCTCCTCACCTTTAGAACAGTTTGACCTCTCTTTGACGCTCTTGCTAACAGCCCATTCCTCTAACTTACCCCTCTCCCCCCCCCCTCTACAACCCCCTCCTGCCCCAGAGAGTTGTTCTCCCTTCCTGCACTGCGCTGTCCCCTCTCTCAACCCTCCATCAAGGAAGGATATGAGGCCTCAGTGCTGTTGAGGGGCTCTTCTCCCAGGTGGATTCTCGGATTGCCTCGGTGGCCTTTGATGGTGAAAGTCGAGGCGGCCCGGTCTCAGATGGATCCCCTGCAGGCAGGCAGGCACACAGACTGGCTCTCGTTAAAAAAGCACCACCTTTGTGTTCCCACAGGAGGTGGATGTAATTAACATAGCTTTAATACTACCTGTGTTTTCAGCCGCCGTTGTCAAGGCTACTTCTGTTTGGGTTTCTGTGTGTGTGTTTGGGAACGGCGAAAGGTGGTGGGGTAGGTGGGTAGGTGGGCGGAGGCGGCGGCGGCGGCGTGCGCATGTGCGTGACTGTCGGGGTGGTATTCAGCGCACAACCCCGGTGGGCTGATGTAATGCTCGAGTCTGGCCCGTGTCTGTCTTCCTTTTTGGCAGAGCCGCTAGAAAAGTCGACGGCCATTTAAAACCTTTTAGGGCGCCTCTGCTAGCACGCCGAGCGAGCGAGGGCCCCTGTTTCTTAATGCACCCACTACAATTTTCTGTTCCTAGTCGTGATGATAGAAGCCAGTTTCCCCTCTGAGAAACTGACTTTCGAATCAGCGAAAGCGAGCTAGCTAGCCTTGTAGCTTTGCCGAGCAGGTACCTGTGAGAATCCACACGTTGGCCTTTGTGCCAAAAGTTTTGTGTTGCCAATTAACTCATTTGTGGATGCAAAATCTTTAAATTTAAAAGTATTTGCCTACATGTTGCATCGTGAAGTCCTTTGAATGAAAAAGCTGTGCCCACAAAATGAGATAGTTGATGCTCTTAGATGGTTCAAAGTGTCAAACAAGGCAAAAAGATGGGGATCGGGATCTTGATTGGGAACTCCTCGCCACCCTCCCGTTAGCTGATTGAACATAGTGTCCTTCCCTCTTTGCATTGCAGGATGTTCTCAAAGAGTGCCAGGAGCAGATCGAGCGCGTGTTGGTGAGCAGCCTACGCGAAGGCCGGCAGCAGCAGCAGCAGCAGCAGCAGACCCAGAGAGGCACCAGCGGCAAAGGCATGGACGAGCTGGACCAGTCCTCCACCCCGACAGACGTCCGCGATGTCAACTTGTGAACCAGCAGAGGGCGTCATTGCACAGGATTTACGACGACAACAACAACAACAAAAAAACAACAAAAAAAACATCGTGAAAAAAACCTCAATTTTAATTAAAAGCAGAAAAAAAAGAACAAAAGAACAAAAAATGTTTAAAAACACAAGCCCTTTAAAAGAAAAAAGAACAATGCTTGCTAGTTTTTTTGTAGATTTTTCTGTTCTTCGAGTCAAAAAGAAAGAAAGAAAGAAAAAAAAAAAAAACACCTGCACACAAAATAGATTTTCTATGATGTTCTAGTGTAAACGCGACAAATTTGATACGAGATGAAGCTCTGTGGTGCCTTGGATGTACAGAAGGGAAGCCAATCATATTTTGCATTCTGCCTTTGATTGTATAGTATGATCTTTTTAAGTTATATTTCAACCATAGCTTGATGACGAGGCTGTTATGGTAGAAGTTGTGGAAACCATTCAGAAAATTGCATACGTGGGATCACAGCGGGGCTTAAGTTTCTTTCTCTCTGTTTTGTTTTCTATGAGTATTATCACTATTACATTGGTGGCCGGTGTGACAGAGGAACCCGCCGGAGCTCCTCCGCCGCCATCAGAAGGTCCACATGTGTGCCGGGTGCGAGACAGAGGAAGCCGTGAGAGCGTGATGCGAAAAAAAAAAAAGTCGGTGGGGTCCCATTTCCAGGGAAGAGCTGGGATGATAATAATTATTAGTAGTATTAGTAATTATTATTATTATTATTATTATTAATATTATCATTGGACATATTTTGTAACTGAGTAGTAGAGATCAATAAGCTCCTTTTGTCAGGCTGCTTGTGTGTGTCGGTTGCATGTGTGCTGGTTGTGTCTTGGTGTGTAAGAGACACGGATGATGTACAGTCAGTGTGTGTGTGTGTGTGTGTGTTACATGTGATCTATATGAGCAGTGTGCGTTCTACGGCGTGAAGCACTTGAGCAAAGTCGTGGACTTAGGGTTGTATGTTAAAAGACGATGGAGCGAACCGAGGCTACAAACACGTTGTCCATCCGTGTACCAGGGCATCTATGCTGCGTCACTGCCTTCATGCATTAACGGTGCGTCACGGCTCACGACACGCGAGCCGCGATCGACACGGAGACAGGATTTGGCAAAGGTGAAAATGGGCGAAGGGACTTTCACGCGGAGCCCCTTGTGTTTCTAAGAGCATTTTATTTTTCCTGAGGTGTTCCACTTCAGACTCAGAGGTCATGTGAGGTGTTTGTTTATCACTGCCATTGTGATGATGAAATATTACAGATACTTCTTCACGTTGTTACGATAAGGTGTTTCCTCCGTTGTGAAAGGCTGCTTTGAGTCCGGACGGGGGGGGAGTGTTGCCTTCTCGCATGTGAAAACAGGAGGGGGAGGATGGTGCCTCGAAGAAACTCCTCTGTGTTAATTAGCGGGGACGAGGTGGGGAAAGATTTAGAGAGAGAGAGGGAGGGTTTGCAACTCAGAAGTCACCGCGGAGCTGAAGGCACACGAGTGCTCGGCGCAGGATGGTAGGACGGAGAGGAGTTGTGGTGGTGCAGAAGCATGCTGCTGTGTAGGAGATGTGGATGATGAAGAGGATAATGAACAAAAAACACACCCAGAAGCCTCACAATAAAACTTCCATGTCTGCGTATTTGGGTGGATCTACATTAATATCTCGTAACGGATGTCTACGGTGACACAGCTAAGTGAGCGTAAATGACCACGAGGAACTACGACTGTACGCTGCCAGATCACGTGATAATGAACTTTCTTAGGGGTGGGGCGGGGGGTTGTTAGAGGATGATAATATACTGTCAATGCATCTGGAGTCCCACATAGGGTTGTCTTCAGCTTCCCTATATGATTTCAATGGCAAAGCACTTTGAGAACATGCTCCCCAGGAGATAAGAAAAAAAAAAAAAAAAAGAGATGCGTTGGTGGTGATTGGAGGTGAATGGATGTTTTCTTTTTTTCCTCATTAGCCTTTTCTTTGGTTTACTTTGTAGGGCTGGTTTCCCAATCATCAGACATACCCTTTGTCAAGCAAGAGTCAAATTTAAAAAAAAGAAAAACAAAAAAAAAGGCTTTCCGCATCTTACGATGAAAGGACATTCCGATAAAAAGACAGAAAAAAAACATTCCTGTTCCAACAAAGAGCAAGTTGATGAGGAGTCCGACTTTTTTTCGGAGAATTTAAACAATTTTTTTTTTTTAAATGAGCGATATGAATTGGATGATACCTACACACACATACGTTGTGATCCATGGGCTCTATTTGATTTTCTTTTACATTGTCAAGAAATGAAATATTTGTTTTTACTTGAATTTTTCTTTTTATTTATCTGCATCACAGCCACAGAGAGCCACACAGGGCAGCGGTGAGCTACGAGAGAGGCTGGTCGTAACATCCAGTATTTGCACATGTTCTTCAAAGGGCAACGAGGTTTGCAATGTTAAGACAGAGCAGAGCCTTTGTTCAGAACCACCTTAACTGATGTGTGTCGCAGTGGTTGGTCAGTTTTCTATGGTGCTGGCTTGTGCAGGGCCGATCCAGGCCGGTTCGTCTGTCCGTGAACACACCTGTCCCCTGTGAGCTTTGCTGCTTCAAATCATTGGCAAGGGGATTCATCAGCCAGGCAGACAACAGCACAAAACAAGAGACGGATGATTTTCTTTGTTTTTGTTTTAACGGGACACGAGGCTTTGCCACAGCGGTGTCTCTGACTTAATGTTTGAGGTTTTTTTTTTTTTGTTTGTTTTCATGACAGTATGTGACTTTGCTGAGTGTATGTTTATCAGTCTTGAAGAGAAAATGTGGGGATCTGATGTTTTTCAGTAAAACTGAGCAGTTTAATGACATATTTGCCAAAACATCCCCATTTAAATATTTGGTGTGACCCCATCATTTTTATTTTTATTTTTTTTTTGCCTCTGTTTGCCTGATGTAAGCTCTCTCCCAAACTTAATGGTTGTGATTTTTCTTTTCCTGCAATGTATTGTTGCATGTGTTATATATTGAGACCACCTTGTCAATTTGTGTTTGATATATTTTATGGGGTGACCAGACCCGCAAAAGGGTTTTTCTAAGATTTAGAGATACTGTATTCCAAAGTGAAGAGAGGACAGAGGAGGAGGAGGTGTGAAGACATCAACAAAAAAGTGTCAATATTTTATTGTTGTCTTTTTGCGCTGCTAAAAGCTATGAATTTGTTTCATTTATACAAAAAAAAATAACATTACCTAGTTGTGATGTGTCACTTGAGTGTGCTGCTATTTTATAAACATTTGTATTATAATATAATTATTTTACTGCTTAAGAGATAAATTCAGAAAAAAAAACGAAGTAGATGGTGATAGAAGAACATGAAATGAGTATTCGACTGGAAATGTTCTTTGTACAGTTTGACAGTTTGCTTAGATAGCATGTCTCCTTTCCCCTTTTATTTTTTATCTATTTTTTTGCTCTCCTTCTTCAGTCACATTCTGCATCAGTGGTATTTCCTATACCTCAGGATTACTGGACAAATAAATCACACATTCATCACCTATACCTCTGCAGTTAGGGAGCCTGGAACGGAGGAGAAAGCATATAGTTGGAGGATGGGGAGAGAAACGGCAGCACATTGTTTTTGTGGATGATTCTGCAGATTGTGAGATGGGAAACAGGAATTATGCAAGGCTTCCACTCGGACTATATTGGAGGTGTGTTTTGGGGGGGAGGGGGACACATTACATTTTCCTTTGAGGTGTTTATGCCGCAGATAGTTCGAGCATGTTTGTTTCTGTCCATGTTGGTGCTACATCTGACTTGTCATGTGCGAGAGAGAGGGACAACCAGCATTCCTATGACGGCCAAAGTACAAGTTCTTGCTTTATTCAACCATAATCACTCTGAATGTCAGTCAAATGTGGATTCTGTATGTGAGGAAAAAAAAGAAGAAAAAAAACAAAAACATGTTTTGGTCTCAAATAACCGTGTGTGCGCACCATTGAAACTGCCACGAAATAATGTGTTGAGCTACACCTGTCGTGTCCTGTCGTAAATATTCCGATATCTGGAAGTTTCAATGGTGCAGATTTCCCTTTGAGTTGCTCCCCTCCCCTCCCCCCCTCCACTATAACTCATATCATGTACCTCAAATGTCTGTTGCACAACCTCTGTTCAATAAACTTCTGCTTTAAAGGGTGTGACACCACATCAGCTCACTATTTCCCACGTTTGTGTTCCTTCTCAGCCGCGTGTCCGGTTGCCTCCCGATCGATAGGCTGGTCTGTGAGCAGGGTTTGGATGTAGGAGTGAGTCAGCTGCAGAGCCACTAAATCACTGGACAGGCAGAACATTAAGAACTTGGGACAATGTGTGTTCACCTGGCCAGGATTTAAAACTATTTCCTGCTAATGTGTACGCACCAGAAAGATGGGAGATAAATTAGCTCCGTCCAGTAAATCACATTCAGGGAACAAACAAAACTCCTCATTTATTGGGGCCATTATAGCAGCCTGCATAGCAGACCTGAATATTGCCATTTCTGAATTATCCTCTCTGCTGTTGATCTCCATGCAGAGCCTTCAGCTGCTGGCATTAATCTCAGTTTTAGATTCATCAGTAAATAGGATTTTTTTATCCACTGTGAATCGCTGCTATGTCTATGCTCAACCCAAGCATGTGGTCTCACTTCCATCCATCCATCATCTCTACACCTTAATCCTCACTAGGGTCATGGGGGGCTGGAGTCTATCTCAGCTGACTCGGGGTGAAGGCAGGTTCACCTGGACAGGTAACCAGTCTATCACAGGGCTACACTTAGAGACAGACAACCAAGCACACTCACATTCACACCTACGGACAATTTAGAATCACCAATTAACCTCAGCATGTTTCTGGACTGTGGGAGGAAGCCGGAGAACCCGGAAAGAACCCACGCTGTACGGGGAGAACATGGAGACTCCCATGTGTCCTCACCGGGATACAAACCGGCGACCTTCTAGCCGTGAGGCGACGGTGCTAACCAACGAGCCACCACAATGAAAATATGTTAATAATTCTAATTACAGAATAAACAGAACTTGTATCATTCACCAAGAAACCAAGACAAATAAAAAAGCACGATGCATAATTACAAACTAGAAATGTGTGAAAAGAAGAGCTGTGAGTTCTGACATTATCTCCAAGGATACGTTTCAGTTAAGTTTGTACAGAGTGACTTAAGATCTCAGACTTTGCTTTTCATTTTTGTAAACAGCGGTGCTCTTATACTGTTGCTTGGACCTTTACAAAGAAGTGAACACGGTGCCACAAGTTTGTTTCAAATCTGACTAGAAATCGTGCAGAATCCTAAATGTTTTCCTAATTTTACATATTCCAACTTCTTGTTTTTTTTTTTAATGTTTCCAACTCTTAAACTTTCTCTTCCAGCTTTACATGAAACAAGTGAAAAACCACCAAGCAGCAGCAGCATCAACAGCATCAGGCCTGTTGTTTGATCAGCAGTGTTTCAGGTGTTCCAGACTTTTTTAATCCGGTGAGACGAGGGGTGGTTCAATAATGTATCATGCAAAAGTCGTGCACTTTTCTAATACCTATCCAGCTGCTTTGCGACAGCTGTGTGCTCTCCGTTTTTAAGGCACTGGAACACCGTCACGTTTCACTGCAGTCAAATGGGGATTGAGAAACGCTGGTATTGATCCAAGAACATCAGCTTTATACAACAAAGTGCTTCTCTCACACACACACACAATGTTCTCTGCTGGTATTTCATGGTGTGTTTCAGAGCAGCGTTACATATTCCTGTATGGCTGTCAGGTGTATGACACTGAGCTAACGGTGCAGCAGCGTTACCAGGAGGCCTGATGTAAAGTGTAGCCCTGTGATAGACTGGTTACCTGTCCAGGTGAACCTGCCTTCACCCTGAGTCAGCTGGGATAGACTTCAGCCCCTCGTTGCCCAAGGTGTAGAGATGATGGATGGATGGTTGGACCCTTGTTGGATAAGTATAGTTTTGACCTTGTCTTATTTGCATTTTTTACATAAATATCATCGCTTATACAACTATCTTCCTTGCTCTGTGATTGGTCCAATGAGTAACACCTTATTTTTGAGTTTTCCTTTACATAAATAAAAATATTTCCACCATAAACTCATGCATAAAACTCACACATTTGTGCATAAAACTCACCAGAGTGCAGGGCGTGTCTGATGCTCTGAACTCCAGCGGTGATGGTTTTGCCCTTTTTTTAAAAAAAATGATGTTCACATTAAATCTGCGCTCGTGACTTCATTCAGGAGAATGCGGCGTTCGAGGACCACCACAGAGCGTCGTTTTTTTCGCCACCTGTAAGCAAGCGTCTCCTTTTACGCCGCTTTAAACAAACCACGGTGTAAAGAAAAGACGTCCTAGTACGCTGGGGGGTTTTTTGTCTTTGAGAAGGGACCTTTTCGGCTGTCGGTACCGGCCGGTCCATGCGCCTTCACCCCGGTGTCAGCCTGCAGAGCATGAGAGCGCTAACGTTTGGGCTAACCCTGGTCCGACAGTAAGTGCGATTCACGGATCATGTTTAGTTTTTTTTTTTTTTTTTTTTTTAATTAACTTTTATCGCTCCCGTTTATAAAAGCTACAGTCTGTTGTTGTAATTATTAATTTCGATAGAGCAAAACATAGATAAAGTCAGGTGTGGACGAGTGTTTTTGAAATAGTTGTTAAACTGCTAGCTTGTTTGTCATGTAGCTTGATTCTGTGCTGCTCCGACAGGTGTCACACACATCAGGGACTGGAGGTTATTTATAGTGTAGCCGGATTTACATTCACACCAGCTCACACTGAACAAGTTTAAAGGCTAAAAACTAAAACAAAAACAAAAAACCAAAGAGGACAGTCTCGTTAAAACAGCAGCTAAACGCTAACAAACGTTCATGACCCATATTCAGTTTACTTTACGGTCCTCAGTCAGCACCAGTGTGTGCAGTGTCTCGTAGTGACCACCAGGGGGCGGAATGACACCACACAATTACGTTTAGATAAAACTTTATTCATTCTGAAGCCAATTCTTGTGCTGCTTATTTCTCAGAAACAAGAAAGGAAATTAATATAAGAAATGCAGCACATAAAAATAAAATGCAATAAAAGCGTTGCTACAAAAGAACAGGAAAAATAAATAATGGTAGTAGTACTGAGGTAATAAGCAATATCAGACATGACAATAAAATTATGAAATTAAATACTAAATGTTAGAAATGACAACAGGAGCCAGGTCGGAGAATCTGCCCTCGAGTGAAACAGTAGCGTTGCGTACACATGATAGTAGGGATGAAATAAAATGTGTGGCAGCTAGAAATAGACTTTTTGGAGCTTCTTTAATGATCTGTTTCTGTGATGTTATCTTGTGTATTTTTGCTGCTGATAAGTCATTTATCTCCTGCAGTGGGGAAACACCGTACAACAAAGAAGGACTGCTTCAAGGTAAAATGTGATTCAGATCATCTGCACTAACAAAATATTATCATTTTGTTTGACTATCTTTCTAAGAATCTGAATCACTAGCAGGTGCCATTTACACGTATCCTGCGTTTCTTATTCTGTTTTTATTGTCCCTCCACCCAGGCCAGGCTATAGATTCACCTTTATCCGAGGTCGGGCTGCAGCAGGCCGAAGCTGCAGGACGATACCTGAAGGATGTCAAGTTCAGCAACGTGTTCGTCAGTGACATGCTGCGAGCCGTGCAGGTAGTTGAACCGTGGACGTAATCTGTGAAAACTAAATCAAAACAAGGCAGGGAATACTTATTTTTATGCACTACAGTGTACCATATGTATATTAAAACACAAGTTTAGTGATTTTATTGTAGCATAGTTTGTGATATTTGTTCCTCTTATATTCTTATATTAGCCATAGTTAGCAGGAGCATATATCATAGAGGGCTGCTAGGTGGCACTGTTGCCTCACAGCTAGAAGGTCACCGGTTCGCGTCCCGGTGAGGACACCCGGGATCTTTCTACGTGGAGTCTCCATGTTCTCCCCGTGCAGCGTGGGTTCTCTCCGGGTTCTCCGGCTTCCTCCCACAGTCCAGAAACATGCTGAGGTTAATTGGTGATTGTAAATTGTCCGTAGGTGTGAATGTGAGTGTGCTTGGTTGTCTGTCTCTAAGTGTAGCCCTGTGATAGACTGGTTACCTGTCCAGGTGAACCTGCCTTCACCCTGAGTCAGCTGGGATAGACTCCAGCCCCCTGCCTCCCTAGTGAGGATTAAGGTGTATAGATGATGGATGGATGGGATATATCATAGAAAACCCACGAACCTCTCCCTTCCTATAGAGCGATGACATTTTGTCTTTGTTTGTCCTCCAGACTGCAGAAACGATATCGAAACACAACAGCAGCTGTTTGGGTCTTCCGATGGTGCGCGATCCTTTACTCAAAGAGAAAGTGAGTCACGCTTTGCCTGTTGTTATCACACAGTAAACACAGTTTATTGCTAAAACATTTACTTCCCGTCAATGATTTGTTGTCTTCCAGAGCTTCGGGATAGCTGAAGGGAAGAAAGTGCAGGACTTGAGAGAGATGGCCAAGGCAGCCGGTCAGACGTTTCCAGGCTTCACGCCTCCAAACGGGGAAACTCAGGAGCAGGTGAGGCTTGTAAAAATGTTGAAGAATATCTGTTCCTCTGCTAGTTTATTATTTATGTAAGTATTTTTCATTTTTGTGTCCCTTTACTCTTCCCTGAGTTTGTTTGTCTCCCTGTTTGCTGTCATTGTCTTCTGGTAAATTCATAGTATGTTGTCATTTACAGAGAAACGCATGGGTTAAAAAACAGAATTTTGCATTTATTTACTAACTTACTTGCTTGAATACATATTTTAATACGCTAATAATCCTACAAGAGACACCTCAACAAACAGAAAGGCGCCTTAAATGCTGCAAATCATTGAACAAAGACCCCTCATTTATTGTGTTTTGCAAAATATATCTTCTTGCATGAACACTGGCCATTCATCTCCAGTTCAGCGCTGGCGTGTACAGAAACGTGACAGATTATAGGAAAACCAACTCGACCCTTTGGTGGCTCTGTTTTGCTTTTTGGGGGCATTTGCGGCCATCGTTTAGTTGTTCCCCCCTGAGAGGGAAAGAGCACTGAAAAGTCGCCCATCTGCACAGCATGACAGTTACAGACATTAAACTTAATCATTCAGAAATAGCTGTTGTCTTGAATTACCCTGGAAGTTTTCCCCCTTTTTCCTTAAAACATCTGAAAGGGTTAATGAACCTTCATTACTGGAGGACGTTGTCTGACCACGTAGTACTCATAACAGTCTCAGCATCAAAAACTCTTTTAGAGGAAATTATCTCATCTGTATTTATAACCGTTGACCAGCCTTAACTAGCCAATGATCTGCATTCACTTACCACAAACCTGTATTTAACAGTGGCTGACCTGTTAACAAGCCTCTCACCTGTCCTTGTGCAAACCTGTGTTTACTAGTGAACAGTCTGAGATGTTTCACCAGCCTCGGACCTTTATTCACTAACCACTGGCTGACGCTTACTAGCTACTGGTCCATGTTTACCAGTCAATAACCTGTATTTACTCGTCAACGGATCATTTTTACTGGTCTCTGATCTTTATTTGCTCTCCACTGACACGTCTTCACGCTTCCGTCCACGCTGGCTGCCGTCTGACGTTTGTTTACTGACCAGTAACTGCACTTTACCAGCTACTGACTGGTGTTTGCTAACCACTGACTGGAGTTTACCAGCTACAGACTCCACTGCTGTTCACCTTTTCACGTTTATTTTTTTCAGTGCTTTTGTCTCTATTTATTTCTACTGTATTTAGTTGTCGGCGCAAATCTGAGAGGTGGATATCCCAAAGACATGGGACCTAAAACCAAACCTGTGCGCGGCCACACACCACTAGTGGGAGTAAAATTCTACCTTAAGCAGAAGAAGATCTTTTCCAAAGTCTTTTCTCAGATCAGATCATCAAGGACTTTGGTCTCCTGAACATAAAGTCTTTATGCACATTTACATGTGGCCTCGATACGCAGTCGTTCTCCTGATGTAATGTGCCCACACTACCACTAGGTGTCAGAAAACACTCGTCTCCTCAGTCAATCAGTGGCTCTGCAAGGATGTAGCTGGTATGTCATGGCCTCTTTGCATCCGCACGATTGTATTTCTTCTGTATCTGCCAGGGCGCTCGGTGTGAATCAGGGGGGGATCAAAGTACATGCCCCTCTACTGTCAAACAACTGCAGAGCGTTCGTCACTACCCCGATTAAAAAGTCACCACATAGCTTCGTGTTATTTGTGTTAAAGGCCGCGTGGGAGGCGGGGGGTGTTGGAAGGAAGGATGTTCTATTTCAAAGACACCTCGTCAGCCTTCATCCATTAGATCCTGGCTTGGACGTTAACTCCAACGTCCAACCCAGTACGTGACCGGCACATGGTGCTGACGATGATGCAAAGATAGACTCCGCATTAGCACAGAGCGCCCCAATCATCGGCCGCAGCGAGCCTCCCTCCCTGCGTTTCCAAACAGGTTCCAGCTCAGTGCGTCACGATGACGTGTGTTTTTCATGGCAAAGATGCGTCGTGATGTTTTCAACACAAGCGACCTTTAACTTTTGTCTTGCACAGTTGCAAAGAGTTTCCATCACACTGCATGCTGTAAAAAAAAAAAACCCTTAAGAAGCAGGGAGATGTTCATAATGCCTTCTTTGCTCTGCCCAGGTGAAGCAGCGGTTCAAAGAGTTTTTGGAGAAAATGCTGCAACAGATCGGTGCTGAACACTGGCACCACAGAGGCCAGGATGAAACCTCCTGTTCTGCGCCGCCGGAGACGTCTCCTGTCGAGGGGACGGCGGACGACGGGCTCAGGGGCGTCCCGGTCCACGCCTTGGTCGTCACCCACGGGGCTTACATGTGCGTGGCGGTGCGCTACTTTGTGGAGGAGCTGCACTGCTGCTTGCCTCAGGGTTGCGACAAAGCGCACATGTTCTCCTTGAGTCCTAACACAGGCCTGTGTCGTTTCATACTGACCGTAGGAGAAGAGCAGAGTAGGTTTGTTTTATCTGGGATCCGCTGCGTGTTCGTCCACAGGGCGGATCATGTTAAGCAGTAGGAGAGGACAGAGATCTGAAGGACTGTGCAGGATTCAACGGGACAGAACAACAACCTGCTACTGAACACTTACAATTTAGATGATAAATATAAAGTGTGGATCTCACAGTGATTAAACTTCTCAAATATCAGATTCAAGTAAAGAGATGAAGCACTAGTTAATAAATTGGAGATCGATAAGTTAAGGACTAAAAGCACCTTTAATATTTGATGCAGCTGCAGATCATAAACCACGTTTCATGCGCAGGATGACAAAGCTGTTTCTGGTGATGAGCGCCTTCGTTTCACCTCAGGCGGATAGTTTGTGTTGCAGGGAAGTGTCATCATCACACCGTTACCGCCTGGCTGTTCATTACTGTAAACGTGGGCAGCTTTGGGCTCTAATGAGTCCGTGTTTCTATTTTTATCCTCCGGTAGTTCACAGATTCTACGCAGGCAGTCGGAGCGCCGCTGCCTCGGTGTTTACTTTTTGGAAATCAGTGACTTTTTCATTGTTGTGAATTAACACTTGAGTCAACAAGGACAAAACGAATGCCGCAACCTTGTGTGTTGTGCTGCAGAGTGTGTTCTGCTCTGCACTCCGTCCTCCGTGGAAACACTTTTATTTATAGTAGATGAGCGCTTTTACCTCAATGCCATAGAATGTACAGTGAGCAACTGCTGAGCTGTACACAGGAAAAACAATTATAGATTCAGGATGACAACAGGTATTAATGACTTTGTAAATGCCTGCTTTTAGACATAAGAGGTTCGGTCTATAAAATGCTTCTGCATCACAGTGATACCTGACAGACTTTGTCTTCTTCTGATAAAACTCCCTTAAAAACACACTGAGTCTGCATCACGTCTCATTTGTTCATTTTTGCCTGATTATACCTCTGATTTTAAATTGTCTGCACTTATATTGCGCTTTTCTACCTGAGCGGCACTCAAAGCACTTCACAATGTTTCTCATTCACCCATTCACACACACATTCATACACCAATGGCGACAGAGCTGCCATGCAAGGCCCTGCCTGCCATCGGGAGCAACTTCGGGTTCAGTGTCTTGCCCAAGGACACCTCGACTGTGGAGGGGCGAGGGATCGAACCGCCGACCTTACGGTCAGAGGACAACCCGCTCTACCATCTGAGCCACAGCACACCAAACCTTTAGTAAATATGCTTCCTGATTTTTTTGGGAAGTATTTGGACACTTTTCGAGCAGGTCTAATATTTGCCAGTTACATAACCAGGTGGCCGTGAGCATGACAACTTATTTTACGACCTTATTTGGAACATGACTGGGCAAAAGAAAATCATTCTTCAGTCATTTCTGCACATTTGTGATGAATGGAGCATTAGTGAATCTCACTTCATGGTGCATTAGTAACTGTAATCACGGTAATCTGTGCAGAATTTGGGACCCAAATGAAAAAGTGGAACGCACACACAACCCACATTTTTATTTCCACGGTTTTCGTTTCTGCAGATTGCAGCGATTTGTGACGATGAAGCGACTTTTCTTCATGTTTGTTGCAACCAAACTGACTGAATGGTTGTGTAGTGCCGAAATAAGGAGCTCATGAGTGCAATTCACTTTGAACATTTGACTTATTGGCAAAATCATTTAACTTATTCTTACAAAGATGCTCCTGAACAATGTGAACTACTTCTGAATATAATGTGAAGGAGAAAATATCCGTTCCGCATTTTTTTTTCACTTTTTTTTTTCTTTCTTAAAACAGAAACAGACTCACACACACCGCTGAATAGTCACCGTTTATTTTCTCCACATCAGCAATGACACAGCATGAAATATATAAATAATAAAAGAGTATTCTAGGAAGGAAGTCATTTCACACATTTCAATAAATAAATACCTTTCATTGCTGTGACTATTGGTGTCCAGCACCCGACATATGTGGATCACGCTCATGAATACTCGCGTTTAACGGTTCTTGTTTAGCTTCTTCAACCCATTTATGTGCAAATATTTAGAATTACTTACAGATTACACTTTTTTCTTTCTTTTTTTTTTTTTTTACATATATGCAAAACAAGCATTGCCACATCTGGATTAAAATTTAACTGACAGAAGAGGTTAAAGGACAGCAGGACACCGGACCAAACCTGTGTCAAAAGTTGCCGAACTTATCCTTCATCTGCTGTTCAAACAGAAGACAAGCCGCTGTGATGTAACAGGTTATGAGTACATAACCGAGCAGAGCTGCTCCACAAAAGCTTCACAGGTTTTTGATTTAATAATAATAAAAAGAAGAAGCTCTTTTTCCCAGAAGTTGTGAAACATTGAATGCTTTCATGTCACCTCATGAGAGAGCGAAACGCTCTCTCGCGTCAGTTTGACTCTTTGCAAGTCGTTCTGTGGCGTCCCACCATAAAGACCTGCAGCCCCGCTCCACCGACCCCACCCAGGTTCAGCATCTCAGTCTTGGTCTGCCCTGTCTGCGATGTTGGCTTTGACGGGACTGACGGCCCCTTTGGACTGTAAAACCCGCAGAGGGTCATCGCAGGAGGTGATGGTCTCCTTGGACACGGCGCCGGCCCGGTCCTGTTCAGGCTGGCTGTGGTCTGCGTCTTTGGGATCTTTTGCAGAATGCGGTGGATGTGACTCTGATCTCAACGGATCAGAGGGGTTCACCTCCTCGCTCCGTCTCTGTCTCCTGGTTGAGGGCCTCCTCTTCGTTAGAGCTGAGGAGGGTTCAGGCGGCTCCCAGTGAGACTGGCTTCCCACCAGTCTGAGCAGCCGGTTCCCACCTGTGGAGTAAAACAGGTCGTGCTGGTCGGCCAGATCGAACCAAACGCGCTGGAAGAGACAGTCCTCTCTGTCCTTTTGCCTCTGTTCAGTACAAAGAGAAAAAAACACAGTCAAACAAAACATGTTAACTCTTGTTCTCTGCTCTCGTTTCATGACTCCATTCAAATAAAAGTGCATCAAAGAGTCACTCACAGAGTTGAACAGCTCTCCTGTGGAGTCCATGCACAGGAATCTCCTTCTTCTCAGATCAAATATTGACACAGAGCTGCTCGTATCCGTTCTCACTGGGAAAATGACTGCAAGAAAATAGATTTAAACATCAGAGGTTAAACATGCAAGCGTGAAAAGAATCTCGTTTACTGTCCGCTCATTTTCCAGCAGCATTTTTACTGGCTGGCAGTGAATCGTGTTTGTTTGTATAGACGACTTGCAAAATATGTTCTGGACGCCTCATTTAGAACATTTGCTTATTTGTTTTTCCAGGAATGTTCAAAATGCATCTGCTACGATGGACTAATACATTTTGTGGATGTTGTTTTAGGTTTTCCAACACTTTAAGACGTTTACGTGAAGCACAGTAGAGCCCTGAACTCAGCTCAGGAAGTGAATATTTACATGTGTACTTCAAAATGCTTTTATTTGCTGATGTTGACGAAATAAGTTGTGATGAAACAAACTGTATTTGTTCGTTGACTTACCCAGAAAGTCTCTGTGAATGACGTGTCTCATTGATCTATTTAGCTCCAGGTGGACGCGTCCCGATGTACCTGTATGCGTTCCCGTGCTCAAGCTGCCCTCCTGGTGTTGCTCCTGATCCGGGAGCTTCGGTCTACAATCCACCGGTACGCACACATGGACTGCGATCAGGATGAGCGGGAAGAAAGCCGGTTGCATGATCAATGGGGATGAGGTGCTCTCCTAAAAGCAACAATGTTCAGGATGGAGTGTGGGCAGCTACTGGAGGAGGAGAAAGTCCAACAGGTCTATTTAAACAGGGGGTCAACAAACTGGCTAACTCATTTACCAAAATAACTCCGAGCTCGCCTGTTGTTCTGTGGTTAAGGGTTGGCTAGATGGAATCCACGTCGGCTCTAACTGGAGAGAGACGAAAGAAGGAGGAGAGTTGGATTGGGTGGGGGAAAAAAACACACTAAAAATGTGTTCCTGTCGTAGATGGAGCTGTAATTTATTGTGTGTTTAAACTTAACAAAACAAATGTAATCCAGAGATTCCAGCTGTAGATCCAGAGTGTGGAGGAGAGGAGGGAGGATGAAGAAACAGCAGAGGAGGTGATGGAGACGGTGACTCAACTCTACTCATGTGTGTCTTTGACGTCTCCAGGAAGGGAAAAAAAAAACAGTGAGGTAAGAATAACATGCTGTTGACTCATGTGACCTTTGTTGTTGGACTGATTGAAGTTTGTGGAAATCAGACTCCTCAGAGAGTTTCTTACGGTCAGAATGAGTAGAGTAGCGGCTCTGGCACACACTGAAACCTGCATGGAAGAGGGGATTCAAAGGGGATGCAAAGAATACTTTAATAGTTCTAAACTGTGATGAAAGTCACAGGAAAACATTTATATCATTTATAGGTAATATATAAAAGACTGATGCTGTGTAATCAGGATTCACTGCTGCTGTGTCTCAGTGTGCTGACAGTGTGAGAATGATTCATACTTTGTTTATTAATGAACAGCTCGTGCTTCCGCTGTCCAGACTGCCTTCACCAGAGCGCACAGGTACTTATCTCTATACGCCTCGTTCAAAGAGACAAACCATAAGCTCTTGATTTAAGAATTTCTTTAATAATAATAACTATTCAAGTTCCTAAAACGTTTTAAACATTTTAAATTGAAAGGTTTTTTTTTTCTGAACATGAACAACATGTAGGATAAAACATGCTGTGATGGGATGGCTGATGTTTACAGTCTACAAGTGATTATTGCACTTAACTAGACAATAGTTCACTTATTCATTCATATATATATCTGTAGTTATTAATTGTTTTATCGTTGCTAATTGAACTCTCTCTATATATGTGTGTATTTGTGTGGTTGCTCATATAAAGGTTTGAAACAGTCGGCTCTCTCGGCTGGATCAGCCTTTGATGAAAAATAAACTGAAACCTCTGGTCTAATCAATGCCAATCTAGTTATTTCATAAAACATTGCGAGACTTTACGACACTGTGATGCACTCTTGGTCTTCATGTAAACCTTA